CCTTCGCGCTCGCTCGCGGCCGGCGCTCTGCTCCCCTGCGGCTGAGCTCCTGGGTGACGTTCCGCCCCTCGGCCAGTCCCTCTCCCCTCTCCTCACGCAGAGGAAAGCTGCTCGGATACCAGAGTGGCCAACCCCATGCCGTTCCCGGTTCTCCCTCTTACAGCTCTCACCCCTCCAGTGCCGACGGTAGAGAAAGACTTTACTCCAAGGGCTTCCTCCTCACTGGGGAATTGCCGGAAAGAGCAAACAAAAAAGGCGCTGGTGTAGGCTCCAAAATAAACAGCTGAATTCATGATGGCATCGACAGAGGCTCTTATTGGATTAAAAGTTTCAAAACAAACAATAACGCTTTGGAAAAAGGTCAGATTGGCTAAAGTTGGTTCTTGAAAGCAGTGTATACACTTCCCTGTTTACCGATAAATGTGTATAGATCAGGGCGATACTGTGGGCTTCTCAGGATAAGTTTCCTGAAGTTTCGGGTCTTATGCAGCTATGTAGTATCTTACAGATTTGTACGTGGAGTGGATGCACATTGGGCTTAAATCATTGTCCTTCTGTTGAGATTTATACAAAGTACTTTCAGCTGTTGAAGACGAGCGGATGCAATCGCAATCTTTTAATATAAAAATTTTGGCTATACTTGTAAATGGTCCATTTTTCAAATACCAGCTCTAGGAAACTGAATTTCAGAAATGCATATGTGAAGCCGAGGTTGAACCCCACCACCTGAAATTCCCATTTTTCAAATTTGGATAGAGGTAGATGTACGGAACCTCTCCTGACTGAGAACTGAACTTCAAGTTCTCTGCAGCTTGAGTCCTGACACGGCTGTGGAATTCTTCCTAATCTTGCCTCAGAGTCCAAGATTGTGGGTGCCCTGACTCCTAAGACTAAAGATCCTGGCCTGTATTCTTATGGGATATTAGTTTATAAAGTTATTAACTCAGCCAGCATGTAGTGAAATGTTAAGTAGCTAATTAATCCATCTGTGTGTAATGACCTTTCTTTGTAAAGCTTATTTCCTTTTAGAGAAAATGTAAGTTGTCATGGAATTGTAGACTCACCCCAAATAACCTTATGATTAATGCTCTTCATTCCTACCCTCTTGAACATTTCTTTTTTTCGAGGCAGGGTTTTGCTTTGTAGTTCAGGGTGATCTTGAACTCACTGTGTAGTCCAGGCTGACCTCCAACTCTCTGTGATCCTCCTGCCTGCGCCTCCCAAGTGCTGGAATCACAGGCCTGCGCTACCACACCCAGCTTGAACTTTCATTTTGATGTTATATACTCAATTAGTAAGGAAAGTATGGCCATAGCTTAAATTTTTAGAAAAGTACGTTTGAACTAGAAAGCAGCAAGGGAGTAAAATTGTAATTTTTAATGAGAATATGGTTTCTTCTTTTCAGCAGGGTTGAATGTGTGCCTGCACCTTCAGGCATGACCATGGAGAAAGGAGGGAACATACAACTGGAGATCCCTGACTTCAGCAACTCTGTCCTGAGCCATCTAAACCAGCTGCGCATGCAGGGCCGTCTCTGTGATATTGTGGTCAATGTGCAAGGACAAGCTTTTCGGGCTCACAAAGTGGTACTGGCTGCCAGCTCCCCCTATTTCCGGGATCACATGTCCTTGAATGAAATGAGTACTGTCTCCATTTCAGTCATCAAGAACCCCACTGTTTTTGAACAGCTCCTTTCTTTCTGTTACACAGGGCGGATATGCTTGCAACTGGCAGATATCATCAGCTACCTAACAGCTGCCAGCTTTCTGCAGATGCAGCATATTATAGACAAATGCACACAGATCCTGGAGGGCATTCATTTCAAAATTAACGTGGCTGAGGTTGAAGCAGAATTAAGTCAAACAAGGACGAAGCATCAAGAGAGACCTCCAGAGTCTCACAGGGTCACACCAAATCTAAGCCGCTCCCTCAGCCCTCGACATAATACCCCAAAGGGAAGCCGGCGAGGACAGGTCAGTGCTGTCCTGGATATCAGAGAGCTAAGTCCCCCTGAGGAATCCACCAGCCCTCAGATAATTGAACAGAGTTCTGATGTAGAGAGCCGGGAGCCCATTCTCCGGATCAACCGAGCAGGACAGTGGTATGTGGAGACAGGAGTAGCAGATCGGGGGGTCCGGAGCGACGATGAAGTTAGGGTTCTGGGAGCAGTGCACATCAAAACTGAAAATCTGGAGGAGTGGCTTGGGCCTGAGAATCAGCCTTCTGGAGAAGATGGGAGTAGTGCAGAGGAAGTCACCGCCATGGTCATTGACACCACAGGCCATGGTTCTGTAGGACAGGAAAGTTATACTTTAGGGTCTTCAGGAGCCAAGCTGGCTCGGCCAACAAGCAGTGAAGTCGACAGGTAAGGTTTGTTTTCTTTTCCCATCTCATGGCTAATGTGCACACGTTACATGGGCCCTCTTTTGTAGAGCGTCCTCCTTACCTGATACTCATAACCGCAATGAGTTGATTTTGGGGAAACTGGAGGTATGCCGAAAGACTTGCATTCTTATTTTTTTAAAGCAGGAAGCTCCTAGTCCTGAAGTATTCACAGTGTTGTGAGAACTATGGTAAAGTTAAGACACTTCCATGAATCAGAATAGCATCTGCAGCCACACTAGGATCAGTAATTGCCAGGGCTTCCTCTGGATTCCAGGCAGGGAGCTGAGCGGCAGCCAGGAACCTGGCAGCGTTGCCCTTGGTATGTTATCACACAGGTAGGTGGCCTCCGGAGTTCACTTTCTCTACAGTACTGTTTACTTTTCTTTGCCCTCGTCTACCAAATTAGGGAAACTGTGGTACTGTCAGTGACTGTTCTTTTTAAATTAGTGTTGACACAGTACAGTAA